CAGTTGAACTGGGAGACGCCGTGGGCATTCATGGGAAGCATATCCCTGTTGCGCAACATACTCCACAATGCCCCCACATCGGTACCATGGCACCAGAATAAAATATGTTCTGATTTTGTGGGGAGCGGCGGGTCCTTGAGCGCCAGGTCTGAGGATGCCAGGTAGTAGAACTTGCGCATCGTTTCGGGCGTTGCTTCGCCGCCCCTGTCCCATGTCAGATCGTGCTCGAGCAGGACGCCTCCAGAAATGCGGAACTTGGCACTCGCGGCGAGTGCCTCCACATACCTTTTCATGTCGTCCTGCACCGGGTAGGCCGCGACCTCGATTGCACCCCAATCCACCGCGTACTTGGAGATGTTCTTGGGAAACTTGAAGGTGGATGGCATTGCTGGGATGCTGTAAAGGTCTTTCCCTGTAGCGGCCGGTCGTGGTGGCGTAGAGGATGATGACGAGGACCGTGGCTTCATCTTGGCCTTAGCTGCTGTTGCCGGTGGCGTACGAGATCGCTGTCGTGCTGTAGGCGATTTGGAGTCGAGTCTTGCCCTTGTTGGCGACCTTGCTCCCAGGCGTCCCGGTGTAGATGACCTTGAGTCCCTTCTGTTACTGGCTCCCGGTCTGGGAGTGAGCTGTAAAGGTGCCCTGGATGCCCTGGGGGATTGTGCCCTGGAAGATTGTGCCCTGGAAGATTGTGCCCTGGAAGATTGTGCTCGGGAAGATCGTGCCCTGGGTGGTTGTGCTCTGGATGCTTGTGTTCTGGTTGGTGGTGTTCTGGACGAGGATCTCCTTGGCGAAGTCTGAGGTTGTCTTCGACGAACACGCAATGGCCGAGCTGGAGGAGGCATTGTTTGATCCATGAGGGCCTGCGTCATTGTAGGCCTGGGAATAATACCTGCATCTGCTGCTCCAGGCTGATCACCTCGACGATAATAGGGGCCCGGGGAGAGGGTGCGTCCGTCGCGTTGGCGCCGAGGTCGCTGAAATGCAGAAAAGGGTTGTGCCCTCATCTTTGCTCTGGCTCCACTGCCACCAGTGCTGGCCTCCGCATCCGTGGAGGAGAGGAGGTTTTGCGCTCCTTGGCGGTGGGACTGCTGCAGTGCCTCGAGCTCTTGAGCTGTCAGAATCAAACTCGGCGATCTCCGCGTAGCTGCAGTAGTTGCTGCTGCAGAAGCCCGATCTTCTCTTCTTCCTCAGCGCAGTGGAGGTCTGCTGTTCTGCCCCAGGGCTGCAAAGGCATTGACAATGTCTTCAGGCTT